CCCCCAAATGGCAGCTACATAAAGCACTCCCTTGTGGAACGCGCGACCAAAATCAATCGCGCTGTACCAAGGCAGTTTTATCAATCAGGAACGACTAATGCATGTATGTAACAACCAGTGATCGACAATGTATCACAATACAAATGGAGCGAAATTTTGTGGGTTACGTTTTGTACTAAATAATACGGGAAGTTGGACAATGGTACTAGTTATGACGAAAATAATACTGGGAATAGAAAAACTTAAGACGAGTGTCAGAACAGAGCATGCGAAAGCAAGTAAACCAAATGTAATATCGGATTAATACGAGAACACCACGAGAAAGGGCCGACACACGTTCATATGACGATATTTGAGTTCTGACAATAACGCACCGATAGCACGACACCTCTCGAGAAGCTGAAGTACTACAAGTGAGTCAGCCCGTCCGCTACAATAGGAACTTCGCGCGGCCAGTTTGGCAGCCCCTCTGTTATAAGAACGTTTCCCGTCGCCATTAGCGATGTCGTATTCAGGAGGGCATTTACTATATAGTGAAATGTTGTTGAGTGGAGTAGTTTTTCCACTTAAAGGCATACCAATTGTTACAAGTGAGCATATTTCATCATACCTGATGTTTGCCTCCATATTTTTGATTGCGGAACATTTTTTGAAAAGTTTCCGCTGAGGGATTTCTTGTCCTGGGTCCAATTGGACGCCTCACCTGTGACTGTTGTCCAAACGGGCGCACAGACTCCCGACCGAGGTACGCCTTTAAACGATGGGTGGCTTGAATGGCTGCGCCCAGATATTTGCAGACCGCTTACTTTATCATGTACATGGTGTTGGCTGTGCCTGCAGATCGTGTCACCGAACGAAATCCATCGGACGAGTAGCTCTGTGTATCGCCGGTTCACGGTCGCTCGGTGTGACCGGGCCAGGCCATCAGCGATCTGCACATCTGTGTTTATATATGAAGGCCCTTGATGCAAGAGTGTATACATGTACAATGTATCGACTATGTATGGCATGCGTATTACGATTTGCGTCAGTCCGAGGTGACTGGTGGTTCATGAGCTCACGTATGAGTGCAGTTGCATGCCAGATCATCGTTGTACGACTTAGCGATGTATGCAAGGCGATGGCACGGTAGAGCATGGCGTGCCAGTGCTTGCCAGCGAGGCAATGTTCCTGGTAGACAGGTGCGAAACGAATTCGTTGGGATGGGTGATTCGGGGAGCATTATTACGAGAGGAGGCAGCAAGCACTAATGTAGTGAATCATTGGCAATCTTTCCGGCGACGGCTATGGCTTGCTTATGTCTTGTGAACTGACGAAGGCTGGGGCTGATAACGGTATTGTCAATTGATGATGACATTGTGCGACCACTTTTTTAACTCTGTGGTTGGGTTCCGTTGAAAAATATATCTTTTTGTGGTGGGATCTTGTTTGTTTAAGTGTGGGAAAAAAGTCACGAAACTTGCGTATTATCATCAACGCCACAATGCGCGAACATGAATAAAACTATTTTCTTTCTACCGGAAGACTGATAAGCAGGGTTAAAGGCACAACAACATTTTTCATCGGGAGAGGATCGAAAACGATATTGTTGAAACGATAAGCCCCAAGAATACCTTATTTTCAGAAGTTTTGCCTCCCTCATGAGGGTCACTGTCCCGGTTCTGCCCTTTCCTCCACCCCTATACGTCCTGCACCCCCAGAGAGCCCACAAAAAGGCAACGAGCCTGGCAGAGACATATGTGAAATTTAAACTATGAAGAGGATGCCACAATTGCAATTTTGCATTGAACATAACGGCAACAACGTGATGCGAGATAAAGAAACAATACATGTGATAAAACATATGACATACACATACAATATAAAAGTATAACAACAATACGTATCAGAAACATACTTCACAGAGTGTTTCATTGAACAAACACACACAAGCATAGAAAGTAGAGACACACAACTTGTCACCTGGAGCCCCCTCCGAATTATTTACAGGTATTTGAACGGCGGTGCTCAAACTCGGGGCTTTGGACTTCGAATCCCTGCTTGTTATTTCCAGTCTATGGGCTTACATGATAGATTATTAAACCTACCAGCCATGAAGTGCCGCCCAGCTTCTTTTGTCAAAAGCCAGATGGATTTACATGACCTGAAATCGTAGAAACATTCTAGTGAATCCAGACTGTAAAGCCCTCTTCGTCTGTTCTAAAATTAAGCACAAATCCTTGGAGCGTGATAGGGCGGATGGGCAGCGTGTGGCAAGAACTGACTGAGAATGAGCAGCGGGTGGGTATGACCAGGGCCCACGAGTGACCGGTAGATTGAATCGAGAAAATCCTAACCGCAAAGGCTTCCGATGCCCCGGATAAAGCATTGCCTAATGTCCAGCTCTGGCGTGAGCGTGGACGGCCAATGCTGTAGTGAAAGTGGACTGTCTGCATGGCGTGGCTTTGGACCACACAGTTCTGCGGCAGTGAGCTGAAGCGGAAACTTCTATTCTCTTTTGTGGGGGGGGGGGGGGGGGCAGGTGCCTCTCCTTATTTTGAGGGGAGAGGGTCACATCAACCCACGGGTCACATTTAGCGGGTTAACTCGTTATCCCAGCACGGACTCAGCTGCAGCCCAGGCCACGCCGGTACGGCAGGACCGGGGTTCGGCCGCCGGCGGCGGGGTGGCAGCGATGACCGTCGCCGCAGTATCGTCACTGGCCTGCGGACCTCCTCTGACGGTGCCGATCGCCGGCGGCGGGGTGGCAGCGTTGACCGTCGCCGCAGGATCGTCACTGGCCTGCGGACCTCCTCTGACGGCGCCGGCCGTTGCCGAGCGCGATGGCCGGCCCGGCACCGCGCTCGGCAAGAGGCCAGCGTCGCAGGCGGCGCCGCCGCTGTCACGTCTGTTAACAGCCCGGCCAATATGCCGCCGGTTGATTTTCGAGTCATCTTCTACTTATATATTGTCTGCAACAACCAGGAATTTAACAAAAAAAACAGGGGCACAAAGAGCAGAACGGGCCTTTCCAAGGCTGGCAAGTTCCTTCATATGAACTCTTATCTTGTCCGCGTAAAATCTGCCTGCCAAAGTGTAGTATGCACTAATCCTTCTCAAAACCAGCATGTTCTGAAGATAACCGATCAACATGTCGTAGCCTCCAGCAAAGCTCCTTCCGTACCCCGTCCGGGCATCTCCAAGGCCCGCTTACAATACGGAAGGGTTCTCCATGGCATAAGACCCGAGTCTGGTTTAAAATGGACTGGCGGTAGCATTACCTCACTTCTTACCTGCATGCTTCTTACCATAGCTCTTGAAATCATCCAGCAACTGACGGGGCTTTAACTCCGTCCCAGCCTACAGCCCGGCACGAAGCATGACGGTAGCGCTCCGGCCGGCAGTCACCGCAGCCGTGCAGCTGTGCTAACGCCGGCACGAACCCGCCCACGTATTTGTACAACGTAACGAGATTAATCAAAGACTATCACGCTAGTGATCAAGACAGAATGGCATCACGGCACACTGTTTTGCAATGCCCGAGACATTTAGAACAACAAGCCCCGGACAATGACAATGAACACGTTCTGGCAGAACTGAGGGGCGAAAAAAGTCGCCGTCAGAACTCTGACCCCTCTAGCTCTGGTATGTTTTTTTTTAACATAGCCGTGGCGAGACAGTTGGTGCAGCGACCAAGGTCAGGGACCGAAACAATACTCATCGATGGAAAAGCGCCAAAATTCAGCTAATGCCGACAAATCTGCCAGCCCGTATTCGCCTCCCGTGACCGAAGCGCTGATGCTAAAACAGTACCTACCAGTGCAGCCCCCTGACCTGGCGGCTCACAGCGAGTAATCTACGAGGAGGGCTGGACAGTCAGCGTCACATAAGGCGGGTACTTGGCTGTGAATGGCCAGAATAAGCAGCATACATGGCGCATGCCTTCCGAAACCGCTGCATGTGGCAATCCGAAACCTACATTTCATTTCTAAACCCATCGAGTTTGGTTTTCTCATGTCGTTTTGCGATATCTTTTCAACTGCTTCATTTGCAGCGCTCCTCTGCGATCTTATTCGCAAACTGAATGAGTGTTTCATACCACTTCACAGCTGAAATCTTTAACGGGAGCATCTGCTAATGAATCATGGCGTGTCCTCTTAGGAGTACCTGTGGGCTTCCACCACTTCAACCACTAATTTTTGCGCGCAAGGGTCTAATTGGAAGATTACCACCCGGACATTTCACCCCACAATCAGTTTGGGCCTAAAGCTCACCTGTCGGGTCCAAGCGCGCGATCTTTCTTCCTATGGCCACTGAATGCTCACTTGCAAATGCTAAAAACCTTCCGAGCCTCTCAGCCGGTATCGAAACTAAGATGCTACGCGTTTGTAGTACCAAAGGTTATGCGTATATCGCAGTTCCAAAATTATGGCATATTTTGTTATTTCTTCCCTCTTAATGTGTCGCGTGCAACCTCTGCTAAACAAAACAAGTGCTCACCAAACATCAGACAGGCTGGCTATTGCGGAAAGCCTTGGCCTCCGACTATCAAGCTTCGGCACTAGTATAACGCGTAACCGAACGAAGCGTTACACTAGTCCGCATCCATCAGCTGTGCTTGAATGGGGAGCTTCAAAACAGCTTCTCCTACTGGTTGAGCGCGCTTGCAACCTGTAGCAAGCAAATTCAGCACATAACATTGGGCCTGTTCCCCGGCTACAGGCCGAGGACGGCAAACCGTGCAGAGGCATGAATATACTGATGTATCTAACTGGATTGAAATGTCTTCCTTTCATTATACACTTTTTGGTCATTTAGCAACATGTATTCTGAATGTATTTTGCGGCCACGGGCCTAGCTCACGGTGTCGAAAGGTTTAAGAATGCTCACTTTAAGTGGTCCCACCGTCACAGCTGCTGGCACACTGGCCGAGCCGTATCATGAGGTCCTTCACGTTTTGATGACGTCGCAAAACACAGAATGGTGCGATAAGGGCTGTAGGATTGCTTTAAAAAATCAAGTATCGATTTAGTTGTATTTTCATCGCTTATCACGACTAGACATCACCTGGTCTGAACGGATCGGTCATACAAACTCCGCATTTGCGCATTTGCCGTCACCGCAGACTACCCAGCGCCGTTCACTCCTTTTCAACCACGCACATGCCTATTCCTAAGATGGCGTGGCATGCCTCCATTGCCGTCTTCAAGCCACCGATCTTCACACGGGCACAGTCGACCAGAGTCTCCTCTGCTATCTCGCCAGGGTCGAGCTGGGGCGGCTGCACAACGAGCTCGCTCTCGTTCTCTCCATCGCTGTAGTAGGACGGCGCCAGCTCACTGAAGCTCAGCCGGCCGGCCAGGTCGGCCACCCGCACCAGACCGCATATGCAGCTGCCATCTTCCGTGCAGTCCTGAACCTCCGCTTCCCAGGCGTGCCGATAGATGACGTCGCTCCAAAGGGCGGGCCGGCCCGTGATGCTCAGGGCGTTCTGTCGGAGCACGCCGCAGAGCGCGTCGGCCGCCAGCCGTGCGGGGCCGGTATGCCCTCTGGCCTGCAAACGAGTGCGCTCATCAGTTGCATTCCACTGTGCGTGGACACAGCCGATCGCTGTTCACCTTCTGGTCTGCCGCCAAGTTTGAAAAGAGCATTTACGACGGGAACGTCGGAAACCAGCGTCACCGACGTACTTCCTGTACATCGTATTCTACTTGCAAAGACACACAAAGAAGCGTCAATTTGCACTGCGTGGGTATTGGGACACACACAGAGCCCATATGCTTGCAGATATCGTCTCGAATTTCTGAAAAGCGGTGGTCGAGGGTCAGTTTGACATTCATACACATCATAATGACGCTCCATAGTGAGCTCCATGATGACGCTCTGGCTGGTATTGGCCACACATTGTCTTACTTTGGAGAAGCAGTCAACAAACCAACAAGAAATACACAATCCAACAGCGCTGGCATTCAACCGTTGGCCTTGACATAACATCACCAAGCGCACGAATAGGCACTATGTCCGTGCCAATGCGAGTACAATGTTTTATCTCCTTCCGCTTCCATAGGCCAATTCATTCAGAGCACATTATCGCATAACTTCTAAAATGATTCTGTCAACTCCTGTGCTACACTGGAGTCAGCAAACTACAACCAGAGGCGTGACAACTTCCCATTACCTTGCAGCTCCAGTGAGACGCCACACATACTGCAAACGTGTAGAATATATACAATCTGAACGAAGCGGTTTTGTGAGGGCGACACCTTCGGCGGAGGTATTTCGGGTGTGAAAGCATGCCACATGAGTCGTGCCGAAAACCCAATGTGCAGCCATTTCTCTCATGATGTTTGTCCTCCTACCAGGCGGGATGTTGTGGACGACTGGCGCCCACCGTGAGACGGGCGGGGAAGCAGAGATTCACTGCGGTGTGATTCGGGCACGTTTCCCATCGCCCGCGGAGCATGCTCTGAACCTGGTCATCGACATCAGATGGACCCTGGCCCTGGCCCAAACGGAGGCGTGCGGCCAGCGCAGGCCGGTGCCAAAGCAGCACATCGGAAATCTCGCCAGGCGTGCGGGCCTCACCGCACCAACCACGCTACCTGTCACCGCGGCCTGAGATGACAGCCTATCCAAAAGGCGCAGTTTAAGCTATTGTTGAAAAGCCAGCTGCGGAAGTGTTTGGAAACGGCGTGCGCACCTACAAAAACCAGCATGCCTTGGTGCTTCGTAAGAATGCGCAGCAATACATATCACACAAACATGCAAGCTATTCTGCGTTATCTTAATTACACGACTCAACTTGAGTACAACCAAACAGTACGGCCCCTAGCTGAACAACAAGCAAGGTCATCACGCCAGGAAAAAACAGTTTTGCGCTGCTCCTTAAGCATTCGCACACTTGACATTTATTCGACTATAGCACCGCAACCAATGGTTCATCTCAGTGTGTACCTCTTCTACGATTCGCACATTTTCCCGCAGTGTCAGCCACTACTTTTGGTACATTCAAACTTCACAGACGTCCCCCTGTTTCGCGAAATGAAACAAAGTTAGGCAGATCCCCAGCGTTGTCCGCTAAAGGTGGATGGGCCAGCCCTCGCTGACAGAGCGCCATGTGCCATGGCGGCATCCCGCTCTTGCGTACGATGCTCAACATGTGGCCGGCCTGGACGTCGCCCACACGGGCAGTTTGCTGCAACGCGACAAGATTCATACAGCGTGGTGCAATGCCATATCTATTCAAACTAGTGTGCTCCCAAACTAGTTTCCTCGTTTAGCCAAGCAGCAATGGGTGTTAAGGCACAAAGTGTCTCAACGGTACCCTTTACCGTTCCCTGATATAACCTCATTCCTAAGCTTCGTCAAGGCCACGAGTGCATTGATGCATTTTTGACAGCCATAGGGACGTGCACGGACCATGACATCACTGGGACAACTACCATACTAAAACTTTTCAGTCGAGTGCATTATAACACTTCTTTCCGCCGACGCGTATCCGCGCATCGCGTGTTTTTGGATGTTTCTCGCGCAATTCAAACAGTGGACAAAACGTACATTGGGTTCACTAATGGCTAATGGCTTTCGAGCACTTAGATTTTACGCTAAGTGGTCATTACCTTTGCTGAACAGCCACCGCTATGCTACGCATGTGCGTGCCCAGCAAGATAAAAGTGATGAGGTGCTAAATTGAGTAATAAATAGATGGCCGGCGATAACTAAAGGCTCACGATTGCTGCACGACAGAAATTACATAGCCGACACGTGACATGAAGCTGCGGAGGCGCTCGCCGACCCAATGACTCTGACAGGAAGCGCCAGTTGACTTCCGCTCACCGATCATGACTTTCAGTTACGCAACGGATCTCTATGTGTTCCGGGTCGTCACTGAAGCCGATATCCGCCCCATCCACCGAGCGGCCGCCATCCCACCCACGTCCGGGGCCCGCATCAGCGTCCACTGCCTCGCAGAGCGGCGGCGGGCGATGACGGGCGGCCGCCGGCGTCATCCGCCGACGACCGCCCGACGCCTGCGTGTGACGCCGTCCGAGACCGCCCGGGCGAGGCGGGGCCGAGCGCCGGGCCGGCGGTGACAGGTCAAACGCCGAGCCGGCACAGTGACGAGAGGCGCCGAGTGAGCCGCCACCCCCGCCGCACCGGACGTGACCGTGGGCGTGCGCCCGCGCCGCCGCCGCCGCCGCCGACAACCGCAGTCGTGCCGGCAGCCACCGGCCAGCGCGCACCCATAGCTGTTGGACGGACCGTGCCCCGTCAGGGGAAATGGACACTTCAACGGTGATAGCGCGCCTACGAGTTTCGAAGTATTTGGCACGTGTAGCAGGCATCACAGCCCCTTAGCCAGCCTGGTATTCCAGGCTAACGGGAATGGTATACTAGTGACCAACGGAACAACCATTGCTTCCCTCAAAACCACCATCTTGTTTGCTCGCTCCGTCAATGGTCTAAACATTTCATTTTCCATATGCGGCACATTCTATTTTCCTTGCAAAAGACAAGGTCAAACACCAAAAGCTTGGGCTCAGAATAAAAAGCAATGCTGAATGCTGGTAGGTCAATGCAAGCATTCGCGAGCGGTCTTCTTTTATTATCTGCTTAGATGATACATAAAAATAAACGATGTATCTGTTCGAAAATGGAAACCTAGGAACAATGCGCATATCAGCCTGCAAATAACAAGTCTGGCACTAGGTTGGCTGAAAACGTACCGGAAGGGCTTACCGGTCGTAAACGCCGCGAAAGGAATTTACGTTAAAAAGTAAAGATTTTTCCACAGCAAAGTAAAGAAAAGAGGGAAATTATCCGCACATGTCGAAATTGATTTTTTTTTTCGCGGCATAAACGTTTCCGAACAGGCGCGTGATATTTAGGATCATATTTGCTCTCAACGTTGTCTTACAGCCATTCGAAGTCAGACCGGCTCCTAACAGCTGAACTAGATAACGTAACCGGATTCAGGCACGTAACATAGCAGAAGACCGACATAGGTCCAATCTGTTACATACATACCAACGCAAAGACTGCCTTTGGTATACGAGGCCTTGAAATGCTTCCCGGAATGGCGCCAGCGTCGTGAGCGGTCACTCGTGACGGGTAAACCGCAGGCTGAGAACGGCAACACCAGATGATCTTTCGGAAAGGTCAAAGGAGGCTAGGCCGCCTGACACAATTGTGCTGTCATCAGTGATCATCACAACGCAATACGTGGGTGTGGGAAAGCCTACGCCAACTGCAATCCGTTCACCTTTCTATTCTGTATTATATTTATAAGCCTGCCCACTTTAATTAATACACTCTTCTACGCCAATACCGGGTGCCTTGGGATGGTCATTTAAGCACGTAACATTTTTTAGGGCCAAGCTGTAATTGATTGGTCTTCAGTTTAAAAGGCGTTATGAAGGTGGAATCATCCGTATAAGTCATTTCTACCAAACATCTTATAATTATCACTTCTAGCTATCCACAATCACAGTCAGTCTCCAGTAGCTCCGCCTAATCTGAATTTGTACGGCAAGATCAACCCGGGGTGCGATCTGCATTTGAATCAGCTGAGGGGCCTACATGAGCGGTAAATGACCAGACCTGAACAAAAACCGAACCAAGATGTGCTATTCACGCGTCTGACATCCCCCATATTTACTGTTAAAGGGGAGACCTTAAAAGTGGGAGGAGTGGATCCACGTAATTGAAAGCGCTGTCAGCAGCAAGTGGTTGTTTAAGTATGTTAACTAGCTAATATGAAAGCTACTCAGATTTAACAATAGGCGAGGGTAAATGCGTTCCCAATCACCTGACAGACTTGACATCGTATTCCCGACACGCTCCGATATTTAGGAACCTTCTGAGATAGTCGTTCATATAGCACGACCAAAATGCAACTAATGAAAGAGGCATTCCGGCTGGCGCGTGACTAGTTATATCGACATATTTTACGGGCTTCTTAAGCCACAGATTATATGATCAAGTGGCTTTTGAAGCAACGAATACCCTGTTTCGGCAACAAATAATTGATTGCATTTTTGCTACCAATCATTTCAGTTCATTAATTGCTTAAAAAGACAGCCTCTATTGTCAATTTCTCAAGATTTTGTGCGACTGCACATGTGTAATATTCCTGAGGGGGCTTAGCAAAATCATATCCAACATATTACTCAAGGCAAAATAAAAAATGACTGGCCAAAATGCTGCAATATGTCACAAAGACATATCTTTTAACGATTTCGCATTTGGCTTGCATCTCTAGAGCGTTTAAATATATATTCCTTGCTATGGAGTACTCTGTAACGTTTGTAAAACACTGAGTGGGCTAACATTGACAATCCTATTGCGCAGTTGTCTCCAATGATCTACTATCCCATGCTGAAAAAGAATGTCGTAATCTGGTCCCGCTGTGGTTTAACATTATCTTATGTCGGCGTACTATCGCTGTGTTCGTTTTGTTAAATGTGCATATTTCCCTACGATGATCCTGTTGATGACTACGCACAAATTGAAAGGCTTCGACGAGGTCTTCCCAGCGTTCTTTATTTGCTCCGAAACACATTCAGCTTCACTAATGTCCGTCAAAAGCAGACATTTAGCAAAACAATTTCACGTGTAAGTCGCCGTTATTGCACATCTCTTGCAGGCAACAATACTTTCCAGAAGTTGGAGCTCAAGCCTGTACTCTACTCCAAACGTGTCCTCACATATGCACAATTAGCGCTTCCCCTCTATTTTTTGCACGCATGCATGTTGCATTCCTGTTGATAGTCCGCAAACATTGTTTTTTCTTGACTCAGCAGTCTAATCCGATGTCAACGGAATGCTGTAAATATGACATTCTCTGCCTCTGCCTCTGCCTCTGCCTCTGCCTCTGCCTCTGCCTCTGCCTCTGCCTCTGCCTCTGCCTCTGCCTCTGCCTCTGCCTCTGCCTCTGCCTCTGCCTCTGCCTCTGCCTCTGCCTCTGCCTCTGCCTCTGCCTCTGCCTCTGCCTCTGCCTCTGCCTCTGCCTCTGCCTCTGCCTCTGCCTCTGCCTCTGCCTCTGCCTCTGCCTCTGCCTCTGCCTCTGCCTCTGCCTCTGCCTCTGCCTCTGCCTCTGCCTCTGCCTCTGCCTCTGCCTCTGCCTCTGCCTCTGCCTCTGCCCTCTGCCTCTGCCTCTGCCTCTGCCTCTGCCTCTGCCTCTGCCTCTGCCTCTGCCTCTGCCTCTGCCTCTCTGCCTCTGCCTCTGCCTCTGCCTCCTCTCTCTCTCTCTCTCTCTCCTCTCTCTCTCTCTCTCTCTCTCTCTCTCTCTCTCTCTCTCTCCTCTCTCTCTCTCTCTCTCTCTCTCTCTCTCTCTCTCTCTCTCTCTCTCTCTCTCTCTGTTTCGATCACAGACATTTTCGGCTTTTTCGACTTGTTGGATCTCTTGACTGCCCATGTGTGACTTCCTAATACGCTCTTTACCTACGCGTATGATCTTATTTGCAACAGTTGAATTTCGTTCGCCATGTTTCAGACCACTCAGCGATGTCGCCCAAATTCGTCCGGAGTAGGCCACGGTCAGTTTTATCTCATGTTGCCCGGAACACTTTGACATCATCTGCGAACTTCGAAACGCTCTTGTGTTGCCCATCACCAATGTCAGTACCATACATCAAGGTTACCCTTGATGTATGGTACTGACATTGGTACTGGTACTGACATACACCTCTGATGTATGGTTGACCCACAGACAACTCCGTGCTCTGTGGGTCCCCACCAAGGACATTGATTAAACAATATATGCATAGTAGCCGACAAATAAGCATATCCATTGCCTTTTCTTCTCAGGGTAATAGAAACACTTTTTCGCCCCGATAGGCACAAGGCCGATACAAAAATCATGAAGCATTAAGTCGACGCCTCATATACTTTATACAAACAAAACTACACGAAATAATCCTTTGTTTATATGATGACGTTATCAAAAAGCGTGTTGCCGCTTCATTGCTACTTTCCTTCACTTAATGTATGGCGCAGTGCATTGTCCATGAATAGGGTCCCCCCAGAATGTCGTTATGTTAGCGGCCACACCTGCCGCCGAAGAGCCATCCTTTTGGCATCTGACGTCAACAAAAACAGCAGCACTCGACGGGAACATGTGTGTTTGACAATCAAGGACAGCATGAGCACAAAATGTGCAGAGTTTAAACGGATATTTAATTTATGCTGGTATGGGAGGTAAATATGAAAACTGAACTTGGATCGCAAATGTGGCCACAATCCAATACGCATTCGCAAGAGGCTGAAGACTTACACATCGCTTATATCCCCATGATACAAGGGAGCGTTTCAAATTTAAAAAAAAATATTGTCTTTTAAATTTTGAGTGACCAGATATGGTGACCTTGTGACATTTTCTTATCTGACCTACCATGGCATGTGGTATCTCACAAATGTGTTTTGAACATTCATGATTCAAGTATTGCGTGTTACATGGCGATAGAAAATGTAATAAAAATTTGTTTATATTGACATCAAGATGCCACAAATGGCATTGGATTGGATGGGCGATACTGAGCACGAGACATGCCACAATACTTGTGATTGGAAGATTTAAGTCGAAGTCATATTGGGGATCCAACGCAAATAAACGTTTGCTTTCCGTAACTAGCAACCGGAATTATTATTACATCACATATTTGGATACATTTCGACAATGAGACTAACTGACAACACAAAGGTTGACTGACAGTTGCGTTGAACATTGCTATCTCCATTTCCGTTCACATTTCAACCAACGTAGAGGTACGACACACATAATTGTGCTTTCTTTCCTTATTATTTAACAAATTTGAACGATAACCTTCTGGGATCGGAGCTCACCCTGAGCAGCGCTTGCTGTGTGAGTCCCGGCCCCTACCATCCGATGGCGCGATCACAGGTGAACGGCAGGATCTGGTGGCGTGGGTTGAACGTGCCGCAATGGTCGGCAGGCGGCACGGTCCGTCCCGCTCTCTGACGTCACCGGACCTTTGGCGCGGCCGCTGCCAACGGCCGCGGTTCATAGTTGCCAAATGACGCCCGCGGCCTGGAGTGTCATAAAAATTTGGCCTTCGGCCTGGAGTATCATACGTTTTGTTGAATATTGACAATACAACCAATGTACCCCAGATGAAATTGTTTAATCGTCACCTCTTGGCATATTGGTGATTGATGACTGCCAACATTATAACTTACGCAGAGACGACGTTATAACGTTTTCACGTTCTAAGGGAAAAGATGACGGAGGCAACATCCGAGCCCCGTGGTCGGATCACTGGGGTCGTCACAGTTAAGGGTTCAGAGCATTTCCACAGGTTCTACAGGTTCTACAGGTTTCTACAGGTTCCACAGGTTCTATGTTACAAACACGACAGTTACATGCTGTTTGTAAGCTTGTCAACTGGATGAGGTGCGGACGCGTCGGACAGCAGAAACTGGCGGAAGACCAGCCCGTCCCTCTCTCCCACAAAAAAAAACACCAACGATGCGTCATCATGACGTCACCTGGCCCGCAGGATGATGGGCAGTAACACGGCTCCCGCCCGTCTATATAACGTCCGGACGGCTGGCGGAAGGCACCACACCGCCCACCGGTCCGACAAGATGACGGCGCTGCCGCTGCTGCTGCTGCTCGCCGCGACCGCCGCTGCCATGAGTAAGTTACGTACTCTAGCTAGTGCGAAGGGATCGCTGAGTTCACCATTATAAACACAACGCAACATGACCGTTTGCCAACTTCCATGACAACCATCTAGTTGCAGAATGCCTCGTGGATGACAACGTCCTATACGGACACGAAAAACGTAAGTTTCGAGCTCGTTATGTCATCTTTCGTTCAGTGATCCTGCCACAAACCAGCATTTAAAGCCTCGAAACCCTCTCCATCAGCTCCATTCGCTTGAAAAAAAGACATCGCGTCTCTATCCAGCTGAACAAGTGAGCCATCCCGTAGCCTTCCCTAGTCCAGTGACATCAACATTGCTACGGAGAAAGATTCCACCCCTCCTCCATACAAGCGTGTTCACGTAAGCGCAACGTCACTAATACCACCGCCGCGCGTCCCACAGTGCCGGGTGGCGAGGACATGGCGCGGATCCAGCGCATCCTACAGTCGCCGGCCGCCCGCAAGGTGGTGGACGAGTTGGGTCTCACCGTGCCCGAGATGCCCCAGTACGATGTCATGGCCAACATCGAGAACGTCGACATCAACCAGCTGGCGACGCAGGCCGGCGACAGCGGCTGCCTGCCGGCCGGCGTCAGCTTCGCCGACAGCACACGAGACGCCGTGCGCAACTGCATCCGGGACTCTTACAACGCCGTCAAGAGTAACCCGCTGGGTCGACCCCGGCGGCCCGCCCGACGCCGCTGGGGCCGCAGCCTGATTGGCAACATCAAGGCGCGCGCGCAGCAGCGAGCCATGACGCTCATGCAGACGTGCCTGCTTGCCAACCTCAGCCTGACGGCCGACGGCCAGCTCAGCCAGAGCGGCGTCGACGCCATAGTTGACGGCATGACGGCACCCGACGACTTCAAGCAGCACAAGAAGCAGCTGGCGCAGGTGTGCATCGCCGAGACGCCCGCCGCACTGAGCGGTGCCGCGCGCCAGCAGTTCCAGCTGCGCTGCCTCGGCGAACTGAACGGGCTCGACTGTGCGCTAGGCGTCGCCAACCAGACGTCACCGACGCTGGAGCTGGCCGCGCGCGAGTCGGCCGGCAAGTGTCTGAAGAAGGGCCTGCGGCCGTCGGCGCGCGCCATCATGGCCCATGCCGCCTGCACGGCCGAGGAGGTGTCGTCGCTCATGCGCCAGCGGCTGACGGCGACGGCTGCCGGCCGGCGACGCCGCGACACCGACGCCATGATGCTGCTGCGCCACATCGGCGGCCTGGAGGGCGTCGAGCGCGCGCTGGGCGTCGGACCGACGCCGCGGCCGTGCCGGCCCACGCTGTTCCGCCGCTGCCCGCCGCCGCCGCCGAAGCGTCAGCTCACCGAACAGCAGGTGGACGAGTACATCGCACGTGCCGAGGCCGTCGTCGGCCCTCTGGACCAGGTGTTCGCCGGCGTGCCGCAGCGGGCCGACAGCGTCACCGCCTGCTTCCTCGGCGCCATGGACACGCTCAACGACGACGGCAGCGTCAACGTGGACGCCTTCCGCGCCATGGTGGCCGAGTTCAGCGGCGACGACGAGGAGACCACCGCACAGCTGCAGGCCACGCTCACCAAGGTCATCGACTACTGCGAGACGGAGGGCCTCACCGGCAGCGCGCACGAGTTCCACGCGTGCATCAGCACGGGCGCCGCCTACGCCTGCCGCGTGCACGAGCTGAGCAGTGGCGCCGACCAGCCGGCCGGCTAGCAGCCTGGCGTCCCGCCCCAGACCTGCCCGTATCGACTTATCGGAGTCCGAATCTATGCATACTCATCACTGTTGTCCTTCGTGTAAAGCGTCGCATTGGATATGCCACTTCAAGTATCTTCACACCGTCAATCATACAGTTTCCGTCGGATGTTGAATTCGACCAACACCCACGTGAGGGTGGGGAAGCGTTGCCTTAGTTCACGCTGTATCAAACTCAGTGGTGTTAACTAGTCTCGAATGCTCATCAGCTTCCTTGTTTTAAAATATATTATTTATATGTGCTACCTTGTGTAATACATGTTTGCTTGACACTGAACAACCTTTTAAGGAAAACATCAGTCTATCCAGGAACAGATGTTGAGACACAAAGGGAATACAAAAACACGCCGTTTCAGAATAGCAACAAGGAATATACCTCAAAAAAATTCATTGAGTGGCGCGCGTCGGGCACGCGTCGCAACTGGAACCGCACAGTGACCTTACAGGAGAGAACGCCCGGAAAACGTGAAAATGATGCATAGGTATTGTGTGAGAAAATCGTGAAGCAAACACTAAACGCTCAGAAATTATTTCTCAGCTCCGTGGTCTGAAGAGGAAGTTTTGTCCTGCCACACTGCCACTGGGAAACTGCCGCAGGTGGGTCTCTGTAAATATTCCACCCCTTCCTCCCTCCCCTCCCCCCCCCCCCCCCCCCAATAGAATGGAGTGATTTCCACAAACCACGAACTTGAAAGCTAAAAAAACACATATTCCTCGAAAATAACGCCGCAAAGATTTCGGCAGTTGCAGCATAGTTCGCACGTTATGAGGTAGAAGCACCAATATTGCTTCAGCCTAAGGCATTTACAGAATACTTGATAACATAAGAACCGCCTATTGATTAGATCGATGTCATGGCGAAAAAAAGAAAAACGATCATTCAGAAGACGTGATTGATTTGCTCGGAACTTTTATGATACACTCAGCTGTTAAGGATATACGGTTGTCGTCTCCCTCTCACCAAAGTAGGAAGGACTGGCACAGCCCAGAATGTATTTACAGTTAAACAAAATACCGCGGTAGTATTGCAGATGGGTCCAGGGATTGAAACTTTCGCGAACTCGTACCAAAACCAGAATGACCATAATGCCACATACGGTTAACACAAACTGAACTGCAACCTGACATGCACAAGGATCGGCCGAAAAGGATTGCCAGACAACACCAAAATGATGCTGGACATTTACAAGTGCAGCAGCCATAAACCCATTACAAAGGCACAGACGAGCTGAAGGCTTGTCGCTCCACATCTTCGTATTGACAGATGGAGGATGGAGATGTTTATTGCTAACATGATGATGGTGAGAATTTGGATTTCAAGGCGCGCCGACTGTCCCCGTCATGTGAAGCCCGTTTGCTGGGTGATCTCAATGAGGCGGAATAATGAAGCGTGACGGCTTCAATAGGGGCGTACCTGTGCGGCGACTGCCTGACAAGACACGCATGAATCATAATTGTACGGAACATGTGCGACCGCTCCACCACGTGAATGCCGAGCGCTGAAAAGAGAAAACGAAGCATCAAGTGGCTCTGCCAGGAAATGGAAATCCGTATGTAATGATGCCGACTAAATATAACGAGCAGATCACGTCCCATGTCCAACAAACACAGTCGACAGTCATCACGGCTTTTGTACATTTCCTGTCGCTCCAGAAGCAAAATTCAGTGTCATTTGACTGACGTGGTTATCGGTTCACAACGCTTCAATTTCTTACCAAAACACCATTGTCCAATATGTGATATCCGTATCTTCACAGAGGATGAAACGAGATAACAGCTAACTTCTCAATACGCTACCCGTTTTCGCCATACATTAATGCACTGAACGGACTTTAAAAAGCTTTTAAAGTGCTTTCATGTAAACGCTCTGACAGGAAAAAGATTGCTTTCATGCAATTCCATCAACATGCAGTGGGCCACACACGTGCGTACAACTGAAAATTACTGTCCATATAAAACGAAACCCTTCAATGCATTTCTTCATCCCCTACATTCAGTTCACCCCAAATTCTACGAAAATTCTAGGCAAGGCAATCGGCAATGTGAGTCGGTCGAGGGCGTTGATGCTGGCTGCACCACTCTTCTTCACATCGGTGACGTGTAGGGCAGCCCGGGCTTCGAGGATCATTTCATTCAATGCCCATTCATCTTTAATCAAGCTAAGGTCTGGACGTCCTGTAAGCTCTGCATGTCCTAAAGGCAAGCCCTGTAGGTGCTGTGAGCCCTGCAAGTACTGCATACCTTTGAACAGGGACAATGCAAGGATATAGGAGTACGTTTTGTCGCGTCTGCGTCAGAAATGACACGAATGCTTTTAATGAGTTCTGAAAAGCTTTGGCATGAAAAGATTTGGCGTCCTACCTCTTCATAAAAGCATGATCTTGCTTACCACCAGCTAACCACAATATCATTACCTCATGCGTCTTCAAACACATGCGTTTAAATCTCTGCGAAACATTTTTAGAGAAACATGCCATTCTTCGAATAGTTGCACACAAACGTGAAATCTTTAGAATGATGGAGCCGCTTGCCGGAATGTAATTCATTGAAGTTGACATTTTAAGCCGCCTTAGTATTTTTTGCTAAAAAACGGGTAATGACTCCAACTGAAATGCACACGAATGGATGCAAATAAGCTACATATGCCCCAAAAGGCCAAAAGGCCTTCAAATTTTACAAGTTCTATAGCAGAGGAGATAATATGACAAAAATTCGTTCTGCTACAGAGCAAGAACGAAAACTTCAGTAGCCACAGCGATAGAAAAACCTCACCACTTTTCATTTCTTGCTTTGGTTCGCTGCATCACAACGCCGATGGCATGAATACTGTCAATGCGTTATGTTAGCCCGAAATAAAACACACTAGCGCTCGTTTCCTGGTGTTATGACATAGTCTGAATAACGTGTCATACTTACCGGATAATTAAAATAAAAGCACAACAAAACGCCTAGAACGCGAAAGTAAACACGGATGGTTATTTCTCCACAGGCCGGCGAGATGGCACGAGACTGAGCGCAACCGATGTTCATTCGCATGAGTGATCTGACCTGAAACAGGAGTAGCTGCTATCCACAGAAAACAGGAGCTGCCACGCCTTTTTAGGATTTTTCGAATCACGAAGAAGACTCGGATTTACATCATTTGGTAGGACGAGGATTGTTTTGAGGTCAAAGAAGGATATCACCAACCAATAATGCCTGCTGCAGTCTCAAGACACAGCGTGTCATGTAGCTTTCAACCATATCCTTGCATTTAAAGATTGCCACCGCCTGAACATTCAAGGAAACGTGACTATGTACAACTGCGTACGAGCATGATCCGTTTGCGCAAAATTAAAAAGCTGAACGGACGAACAGCGGTGGTCTAGAGGGGACATGACAAAAAAAAACACAAATTATGGCGGGCCAACGCTAACAGCCAACCTGCCCTTTCACTAACAGTTTGATACATACAGCGTGTCCCAAAATTGATGCGCGGTTGGTGCTGCCTATCATTTCACCTCTCGCGAACGCTGAGTGAGTAGAATTCTACCGCGCTCGGCCGCAGGGCATGCCGTCGTGTCAGGTGGTCACATGACCCTAGCGGCCGGCCTGACCTCGGCCGGTAGCGGGCGGGAGAGGTCATTCCTTCTGATAGCCAACGCGTCGAGTCCGCATATCGCCAACGGTGAAGGAGCACAAGCCATCGATCCGCTACCGCGCGGTTGGGACGGTCAAGGGCGGCATGACCCAGGTGCAGGTCGCCAGGGACTTGGGCGTCAACGCAGCGACCATTGGGCGCTGGCTGGCCCGGGACCGCTCAGGGGAGACGCTCGAAAACCGCACGGGTCGTGGGCGGAAGTCGGCCTTGAGCCGAGCGGCGAAGATCGTCATTGCCAAGTCGGCCTTCAAAAGACACCACTTGACGAGAACCCTGGCGAGAAAAACTGACGGCGAAGAAGCACCCAGTCTCCAAGTCGGCCTTCAAAAAGCGCCACTTGACGAAAACCCTAGCGACAAAACTGACGGCGAAGAAGCACCCAGCCTCCAAGTCGGCCGTCAAAGACGTCACTTGACGAGAACCCTAGCGACAAGACTGAAGGCGAAGAAGCATCCAGCCTCCAAGTCGGCCGTCCAACGGTATCTGAAGACCGGCCTGCAACTGAAGCCGCTCAAGCTCAGGTCGCAGCCAAGGTTTGCCGTGGACCAGAAACGCAGGCGACTGGAATTCACCAAGGCCCGCAAGAACTGGTCTGTTCGAGACTGGAGACGCGTCCCGTTCAGTGACGAGTCGCTCTTCGAGCTCTCCCGAGCACCTAACGGCCAGAACGACCGGGTCTGGGCCGGCAATAGCCCGGAGGTGCTGTTCACCGAGACAGTGAAATAGCCGCTAAAGACTCATGTCTGGGGCCAGACGAGCTACAGAGGCCTCCCGAGTTACACCAAGTCCCACGCCGGCAGACCGTCACCGCCGACTACTACGTAAGAGGGGTGCTGGAGAAGACTGCATCCTCGGCGATGCAGCGGAGGAAGGAGAATGGCTCGCCAACCAGGGTCAACATCCTGCCAGACATGTCGAGGGCGATTTTCCAGCAGGACGGCAATCCCGCTCACCACGCCAGGAAGACCCAGGACTGGTGCCGCGCCAACTTCCTGGGTTTGTGAGAGAAGGGTATGTGGCAAGGCAACAGCCCCGACATGTCGCCGATCGAGAACCTCTGGGCGATCGTTAAGGAGAAGCTCAGCAAGATGTCGCCAGCCACTTCACAGAAGACCCTGTTTCAAAACGTGCAACCGGCGTGTCGGAGGGCCAAGGCGGAGACTCTCCACAGCCTGATGTGCGGCATGCCGGAGCGCATGCGGCAGTGGCTACGACTGCGTGAGGATTACATTGGCAAATAAACCATGAACCGGTCTTATTTATTTTCTCTATCACTGAGGCTGATACAACCGCGCATCAATTTCGGGACATACTGCATTTCGGGTTTTCATACGCTGTAACCATAAAAGCGAGTGTCACCCATTTCTGATGCATCCGCCAGACACGGTTGACAGGATTCGCGACTACTTTTCCCTAGTTTATTTTTCAAAAGTTCGTTATCATTTCCTAATGATAAAAACAGAGCAGAGATAAATTTTTGTCCATAAATGCTGACGGTTTCCCTGAAGCCAACCGATTTGAAATGGTGACAAGGTGATGCGTACTGGGTACCCGCACCACATACAAATGGTGCGTGAAAACTGAACTCGACAAGGATGACACACCTGACCTACCCATCGCTGTCAGAGGTGCTGGGAAGAGTCAGCATGTGTCAGCACGCGTAACACGGCTCCCGCCCGCCTATATAACGTCCGGACGGCTGGCGGAAGGCACCACAC